TTGGAGAATATGCCGTAGTAGGCCGTCCGCTCGAACACTTCGTAAACTGTACATAGCTTCCATTAATCCATTTTGATTAAACTAAGAACAAGAATCAGAGATATAGTTTTAATTAATTTACCGACGATGAAGAAGCAGGCTGACCAGCCGCCTCTGTGGGAGCGACGGACGGGGTTGCCTTTTAGATCGACGGTTCCGTCTTTGGTGTAGCCGTCGACCCCACTCTCTTCTGCAACAGCGCCTGTCGCCATTGATGGCCAAGGAGATGTATCGCCTACTCTCATTGCTCCAGCTTTTCCTTTCAACCTGGACCAACTCTTTCCCTTTTAAGTCTTCCCCTCTCTCTCTCTCGTCAACCAAATTACTATTCCTTAATAGCTTTTAATTAGATAAATCATGGAGCTATATTTTCCTTTTTTTCTCGTTAAAATTTTCATTTATGACTTTAAAAAATATTTATGAATAATTTTTTATTTTTTAATATAATTTCGATTAAATATATATATAACCTAATATTTGGTACGCGCAAATATAACATAACATTCAACGTAACTTGAAAAAAATAGTTATTTAGTCAGATATTCATATTTGAAATAGATTTTTTTTAGCATATTAATATATTCAACCCTCGTGATTGACAAATGAGAGTAAGCGAACAACGTATCATATCTAGCTCAACTTTGACATTTGAAATTTCGAGTAGTATAAATAGGTTATGTTAAATAATTCTCGTGATTGACCTTTAGAACAATAAATGCAATGCTGAATTTAACGACATTGATATAAGTATCCAAACATTCAATAGGTACGTTTTCACCATTCACATTATTTTAAATGTCTTGTAGTGACCAAGTTGAAGTTTGAAATTGATAACTCGTAGGATTGACTTTCGAACCGTAAGGTTAATGTTTAGTCAAACGACATGCAACAAATCACATTTATTAATTTCATATTTTGTATTAAAAGGAAAGACCATGATTTATACCATTGACTTCCTTTTTCTTCTTATTTATCTATTTATTTATTTATTATTGTAATTATTTAATTTGACTTGGTCATGTTTTCCAGCCAGCTACCTTGACTAAAAAAAAGTCGAGCAATTAAATTATAAATATTACTTTTTTATTTTACATTTTTATTTTTATTTTTATTTTTTAATTTTTATGTTGATTTCTTAAACATAAAGTTTAGTTTTATTTTCTGTCACAAAAATAATAATATTTTTATTTTTAATAACCCTTTTTCTCTTCAATAATATATATATATAAAGTGATATTAAGCATGTTATTAAAAATATGAAATCATTCTTCATATGGACAATCCAACTGCTTTCAAACTAAAAAATTGGGCAGGCCCATTAGTATGGGCCTTCTGCTCCAAAACGGCCCAATGGGCCCAAATTCACCCATGGTTAGACACTGGTCGTTAAAAATAAATAAATTATAGCGACCAACAAATAATGATATATATATATACGTATAATTTTTAATGAATGAAGAATTTGATTTATCAAAAATAAATCAAATAAAATTTTATATATATTTGAATATAAAATTTAAATTATATTAAATAAATCAATTAATTTTATAGAGATTTAAAAAAATAAAAATTTATTAGATCATTATTTAGCAAGTGAATAAATACAAAAATAAATAAATAAATAAATCAATAAAATTGTTTTTAAAAAATGGAAATCGCGAGAATTTCGACGGGCTGCCAACGATGAACGTAAGAAGAAAAGGCAAAACTGATATTTGCTTGATCGAACGGTCAAACGGCACTACTATAATCCAACGGTGGGTATAATTTTTGTTATTTTATTTAAGATTATATTTTATTGTTTATAATTACCCATTGGTGTACCCAACCGCCGTGTGGCAATAATCATCCGTCTTCTTTCGTTACAGAGAGAGATTGAGAGAGTGGGAGAGAGCTCCATCGAAATGGAAGGTAGTAGGAGAGCTATCGCAATCCGTCAGCTGCAGGACGCGAAGCGCTTGTCGGGAAAATCTTACAACCAGATAGCGGAAGAGACTGGCCTCACTAACGTCTATGTTGCTCAGCTTCTCCGGCGTCAAGCGCAACTTAAGCCTGAGACTGTCCCGAAATTGAGGGCCGCCTTGCCTCAACTTCTTGATGATCATATTCAAGAGATGATGCTGCCGCCAATGAGGTGCTACGATCCTTGTTTGATCCAAGAACCTACGATTTACAGGTGGATTATCTACTAATTCGTTGTTTGATGGCTTTCCTTTCACCATTTTTCTTTATTAAGTTCGCTGTGGATTTTAATCGATTGAATTGCTTTTTTCTTAGGGGAAATCTAGTATTAGCATACGGTGAATTGAATAATCATTTGTATTTCCTGGACGCTGTTTAGTTAGTAGAGCAATCCGATCAATTAACCGCTATTATATTTCTATATGAATAGCCTCTAATTTTGATAAATGCTTATGCATGAGTAATCGGCTAATCGAGCTTACTTCCAGTGGATTTTCTCGTCTGTACTGACTTAAGACTTCATTGGATATAGATTGAACGAAGCAGTTATGCATTTTGGCGAGAGCATCAAGGAAATTGTTAATGAGGAGTTTGGCGATGGAATGTAAGTTGATTTATCTGAATTTTTTTTTCTTCTTATCGACCTGAAATCCAAATAGATTGTAAATTTTTAAATCTTAAGATTGATAAACAACTTTTTTCTAATATGGCTGTATTATGGATATATAATGTTTTGTGTTCTACTATCTAAAACCATATTTAGGCTTTGATTTCTAGTTTTGAACATCTGACTAGACAAAACAATTTTAGTAGTTAGATTACAGGTAAATAAATTCTTAGGATACAAGCTTACTATTAAAGCAATATAACTAAAAGATAAAATGGCTTCTTTAATTCCCTCGACGTTATCAAGGAAGCTTCTGGTACTCGATCTTTGAGTTCTTAGTTTGGATGTAACAATGAATGACATAAAACATATTTTATTCCACTTTCCAAGAATTCTCGATCAGGAAAACTAGAGAATCATTCAAAGAAAAACATTAATAATTCAAGTACTTGAGACCCTTCAACTCATACTGGAACATAAATATGTCGAGGATTGTTGAGAAAGGAGTCCACATTGGCTGATTTAGGGGAAGGTCATAGGTTTATAAGTAAGGAATTCCTATCTCCATTGGTACGAGGGTTTTTGGGGAAATCAAAAGTAAAGTCATGAGAGCTTATGCTCAAAATGGACAATATCATACGATTGTGGAGATCCGTGATTCCTAACAAAACATTCTGATATAATTAGTTTGAATCAGTTCCAGGGGTAGCACAGAAAACAACATTAAGAAATGTAGTGGTCTAGAGAATGCTAGGATATGGAAGTAGAGAAACTTATTTGAAACTTTTGAAGTTACTGAAAGATGATATTGTAGCTCTGGAGCTCATATCAGTCATCTGCTCAGACTCAGATGTCTTCAAGTGTTCTTTCAGTTTGATGTTGGAAATTTTGTGTTGTGTATCAGATTCATATGAAACATGTGTCTCAACTTCATAAGAAATTACCAGCCAAGATTTTCTTGTGATTCCTTGCGACCATATTCAATGCATCAGATACGAATCTTCAATGATTCATTATATGTTTGTATGCCCAAACATTTCATTATAAACAACCTGTTGTCCTTCAACTCGGTAAACTTCAACACGCCTCACAGTCAAAACCAATGAGCTTTAATCTTTAGTGGAGATTCTGTCGAAGAAACTAATGTATAATATAATCATTTCAAGGTCTAATTTATGTTTACTAGTATGTCAGCCATAGACTTCTACTGCTCAGTCGACAAGGTCAAGGGCGTTGATGGGAAGGACCGTGTTGTGATAACATTTGATGGTAAATATTTGCCCTACACAGAGCAGGTTAGTTTTCATTTCAACATCCATGACCATTACCATTACTTTTTCATGAAAGTAAGTAAACATTCTAAATTTACCCATCTTTCTGTTGATATGAATCTGTAGAAGGTAGAGCATATGGCTTCCAGACGACCATCGTAGGAAAGTTGAGCGCGATTCTAAAGCTTGCAACACGGTTGCTGTAAGAATCTGCTCTCTTTTTTTCTCCCTGCAGTGTAATTGCTTTGCATCCTTCATTTGAAAATCTTGTATAATAAAATGTGAAGCTGCTTGCTTTTGTGTACGAAAGCCTCGTAGCAATGTTCTTATGGCTTTCAAGTGTTTCTATGTGATCGTGTCATGGCCAAGTTTGTCCTGGGTAACTTTGTTAGCTCTAATTTGATTGTCTATCAGGTCATAGACGTGCAATTGTCTCTTGTACCAAGTCAATAAAGTGTCTTTATTTGGAAACTTGGTTGTTCACTTCACTAGCTTTTGCCTACAAACTCTCTCGAGCGAGCTATGGTTTGTGTCAGCTCTCAAAACTATCTTCCCCACTGTGTTCTATAGATGGGATTGCCTTTCTGATCTCCTCTATGGATTCTCTGAGTATATGGGTCTCCCAAAACTGTCCTTAGATGGGGGAAGATTCATTCATCGCTGCGGAATTTGATACTAGTTTGTCCCTTCGCTTGTTGACATCAACTTTCCTACACTTATTTCAAAGTTGCAATATCAACCACGACCCTAATGTAGATCACCGCATTATTTCAAGTGACTGCTACAATGTCTTGGGTCTCAATTTATGTTTGAAATATCAAATATTTTCTATGTCGAGAAATTTTGGAACATTTATATAGGGTAAGATCGGTAGAGTCGATTCAAATTTATAGTCAATGTTTTTTTATATATATAAAAAAATAAAAAATAGAAGCTTCTAATCATGGGCCGTAAAGAGAAAAAGGGCAGGCCCAATAGGTTTTTTATATATAAATAAATAAATAAAAAAAATAGAAGCTTCTAATCATGGGCCGTAAAGAGAAAAACGGCAGGCCCAATAAGAAAAAAAAGGAAGACCGTACAGAGAGCCTTCTTCTATTAAAACCCTCGAAGCCCCATTCTATAACCGCATATCCACATTTCATCGCGATAAACCCTTTCTCGGTAGCCTTCGATGGCGTTATCTGTTCTTCGAGCTATGGGTTCCACAGCCCGCCTCTCTCTTCTTCACAGGCGCCTCTTCTCATCCTCAACCACTCTTACACATCCTCCTTCACCTCCGTCTCTCACTCTTTGCCGTCGATCTCTCCCTCCACTTTCCCATGCCGTTCGATCTAACCCCTCTGCCTCCAGGTACACCTCGATTCGTTGCCGCGTCAATCGGACAGGTAACTCGTCGTACTCTCCCCAGAACTCTAACTCCAACTTCAGCGATCGTCCACCCACTGAGATGGCGCCTCTTTTCCCTGGCTGTGACTATGAGCATTGGCTCATCGTTATGGACAAGCCTGGAGGTGAGGGTGCCACTAAACAGCAGATGATTGATTGCTACATTCAGACCCTCGCTAAAGTTCTTGGCAGGTACTTCAGATTATATGATGTTTCTTTTGCCTGATTTGTTTGCTATATCTTTTGGTTTCTGGTTTGATTTTGGCCCTGTTTATATTCTTTGAACAGTGAAGAGGAAGCGAAGAAGAAGATTTATAATGTTTCTTGTGAGCGGTATTTTGGGTTTGGGTGTGAGATTGATGAAGAGACCTCCAACAAGCTCGAAGGTATGTGTTGAGGTCATTATCTTCTGTTTTGGTCTTCTTGTGCCCTAATCAGTTTTCATTTCCTTTCCTTTCTCGCATTTCAAATTATTTCCAAGGCATTGTGAAATTAATGGAGGGATGTATAACTTGAAGTTTGTATTGATGATTTTTGTTGGAATCTTTGTTAACAGGTTTGCCTGGTGTTCTATTTGTTCTACCCGATTCTTACGTTGACCCTGAAAATAAAGACTATGGGGGTAAAGATTTATAACTTCAATTTTTTTTTTTTTTTTTTTTTTTCATAAAAACCCAATCAAAGAGTTC